ACACACACACACACACACACACACACACACACACCACACACCAAATTTTATTTTGGGGTCAGTTTTATGTGAAAAACATCTTGCTAGATGCTGTGAGGGATGTAAAATAGAAGATTAGGTATATACTTCTCAAGTTAGCTTGCCATGTATATGGGTATATAAGACATACAGGGAAAATAACTAATAACCAATTTATTCACTTACCATATATTTATTAACTTCCCACAATATGCCAGGTACTGTCCTTCAATCCGGATAATGAGTCATACTTATCAAATGGATGGAACGCATATTAAAGTTTTATAATTTACACACGTCCAGGAATGGTGGTATACCACCACACAGTGGTTAAGAGGGGTGCCAGTAGGGGTGGAGTTACATCTTCAAATGGGGGTACTAGGATAACAAGCTTGATTAGGCTGTTGTGAAATGATGATTGAGATATTACATTGAAAGCATTCAACACAGTACCTGGTATATAGTACTCATTTAAAAAAAGGTTAGCTATCGTCCCTCTATGAGTCAGAAAACTTTATTCTGGCAAGTTACCAGAAAGTAAATGTTTTAGGCATTGTGGTTTACAAGTGGCTGCAGCAAGTACTCAGCTGTGGTGTTGTAGAACACAAGCAGCCTTAGACACTACATAAGCAGAGGGCATGACAGTGTCCCAATGAAGCTTTGCAGAAACATGCTGTAGGCAGAGTTCGGCTCTCAACTGTCATTCGTAGACCCCTGACTTAGAGGAAGGAGTGATTTCTTTTAGTTGGGGTGGCTGAAGAAGACTTCCTAGAGGTGAGATTTGGGTTAGATCTTGGCCAAGATTCAGCTAGTTGAAGAGAATGATGTCAGGGGATCCAAAAGAAGAAAAAAAGACTATGAGTCCAGCATTCAAAAGGAAAGGGTAAAATTCATTTGGAGGACAGTGAAGAGACTGAGGAGCCCAGAGAGGGAGAGATGGTAAGCTTGCAAAGTCAGTTTTTGTCTGAACTGGGTGCTGTAGACCTTGACCTGTCAACGTTTTTGAGCAGGTGGGTGTCTTGTTGTAGGCAATGCTAAGAGGAGGAAGGTCTTGCAAATAACATGAATGGGGGAGAGGGGAGGGTGGAAGAAGACATTTTGGCACGTGATCTGTTTGTGAAGTGATGGGTAATGTGCAGCAGAGTAATAGCAGTGGGAAGATTAAGGAAGGAAGGTCGTTATGGGAGTAAGAGATGGTTGGCTTTCAGAGTTCCATAAATCCGAGATGAGACATTCCTAACAAGGGAACTAATATCTGATATTAGTGCGAGATAGACAGTGAGGGTTTGCATATCTGACTTCATCTTGTAATAGATCAGTTATTAGAACTAGGAAGCTGGCTTGTGGACTAACTAGATAGATTTTTTTCCCCTCTCTTTTTTAAACTTGTTGAATTAGTGCTTATGAAGGTAAATCTAGGGGGAAATATCAGTCAGTCACTGACCTGGAAACCAGCGGGCATTTGGGGGCTTCTCCAACGAAGCTATAGACTCCAGTTTTTTAACTAAAGAAATCCTTAACACCATTTGGATAAAAGAATGAGATATATTATTTCCTTTTTAAAAAATGTATATGATGTGGGGAAATTTAGATAAATAAAAATAAGGATTTATAAAATGTTTACTATATCACTTGCTAAGTTTTCATTACACACACACACACAACCTTGCTAAGCAGCTTAGGCAATGAGTGTATATTCCTATGGGCAAGACCTTTGAGCAGGTCAAATTAAAGGTGAGAAGACAGAGATATATATCTGAGGTAGTTGGATAGAATTACTCAAGAATGATTGAAATCAGGAATGATTTTGATGTCAGGATTTTCAAATAAACTGGCTCAAGAAAAACTTTATGTTACCGGCTGACGATGGGAAGAATGTACAGTACCCTAACAAGTCAGTCTAGACTAAATAGAGCCTCCAATAAAAGGCCGTTAATAGAAATTTAGAAAGGATTCTTTTTCAAGATGAAGGTTCTAATTTAGAGTTTATTAAATTATTCAAGTTTTGATATATTCTCTATATATTTTTAATTTGATATGGAACTTACTTTCATTTATTCTGAATTCTAATCTTAGGAAATATTGCCTGGAGTTATTTTTGTGAGTATTACAGATAGTAAAATGTGAATTCTATTCAAATGCTGGATCTTTAAAAATATAATAAAAGGAAACAAGACTTATTTTTGTTTTCTTTCCTTTGTGTGTGTGTGTGTCTTTTAAAAGGTAGCTTGATATAGTGGGAAGAGACAGGTTCTGTAATCAGACAAAACTGGCCCTCTTTCTGATTCCACTACTTGTAACCTGGGGCAAGCTATGTAACTGCACTGAGCCTCAGCTCCATGAATATTAAATGATATTCAAAAAGCAGACAGTAATGATATATGCATATACTTGGTATAATATAAACCTTCCCTAGATGAAATGTATTGTAACTAGAAATCAGAATTCAGGAATAGATGCACTGTCTTGGATTGATTATCTGTCTCTTGAATAATTTATTAGCTGCCTCCTTTGCTTTGGATTTCTTGGTGAAGAAACAGTGTACTTAAAAGAATAAAGACATGTTTGTTTCTGCAAATTAATGAGAATTTTGGTTCAGTTCCAAAAACATTTGAGAGCTTACCGTATGGCAAGCAAGCATTGTACCAGGCATAGAAGACAAAGAGATAAATGGGATCCAGATTTGGCCTCAGAGAGCTTCCTGTGCAGTGTGTGGCTGAGGGAACATTTGACTATAGTAGGGCATCTGAGGCCTGCCCAGAATGGAGATTAAGCCTAACTTCTTAAGCTTTCAGTGACTCCTTTTGGCTACATCTCTGTATATCTTGAAGGAGACTAGAAAGTTGTCAGGCAAAGAGAAGTTACCAAGTGTATCTTAAGGAGTAGGTTCAGGCTTGTGGGGCTTGAAGATTAAATCATTTGGGGGCCCTTTTAAGAAAAATACAACAAAATTACAAATATAGTATTTGGCAATGAGAAAAGAATTGCGAAAGAAAAATCAGAGATTCGAGCCCTTTTTCTGTGGTCACATTTAAGGAGAGATGCTGACATTTAAAAATGTAGTAATGCTTCCTGATAGCAATTGGCTGGCTCTCCCCACCTGAGAAATACTACAAGGTCACAATAACCAGTGGGTACAAAGGTCTCAGTAAGTGAGGGGCCCCTAGGTTTGCATTTCACTGGTTCAGGGCAAGTCTATCTGGTTTCATGAATTCTTTGGATAGTATTTTTTATTTAAAAAAATTTTTAATGTTTATTTTTGAGGGTTGGGGGGAGAGGGGCAGAGGAGAAGGGGACAGAAGATCCCAAGCGGGCTCTGCGCTGATAGCCTGATGCGGGGCTTCAACTCATGACCCTGAGATCATGACCTGAGCCAAAGTCAGAGGCTTAACTAGGTGAACCACCAGGTGCCCCTGGAAAGTATTTTTTATTTATTTATTTATTTTTTTAATTTTTTTTTTTTCAACGTTTATTTATTTTTGGGACAGAGACAGAGCATGAACGGGGGAGGGGCAGAGAGAGAGGGAGACACAGAATCGGAAGCAGGCTCCAGGCTCTGGGCCATCAGCCCAGAGCCTGACGCGGGGCTCGAACTCCCGGACCGCGAGATCGTGACCTGGCTGAAGTCAGACGCTTAACCGACTGCGCCACCCAGGCGCCCCTGGAAAGTATTTTTTAACAGCTCATACTCACTAGCCCAAAGCCTCACTGAACTTGTAGTTTCAAACAGGTTAAATCTGTGTGGAATTTGTTAGGTCTACAACATTTACAAATGAATTTTTTGTTTTCAAGCCATTTATTCAATAAAGAACAGAATCATTAAAACATTTCTTTAGAAATGTCAAATTGCCAATCTGCACCTAAAATATTGGGATTACCTTAATTGGTGTTGTTAAACTTTCTCAATTACTGTCATTTTTTCCATTGTAGCCCAAGGTGGTTGTTACAGCATCCTTTGGGATTGAACCCGGACGGAGAGTAGAATACATACCACTTCTAGAAGAAGCACTGACACTAGGACAACACAAACCAGATCATGTTCTCATTTATAATCGTCCAAATATGGTAATCTGAATATGGAATTTGGTTCTTGCGTATGGTGATGCACTAAGGATTATTCTAGTGTTGACCTTATGAAATACTTGATTTATAGACCATTTAATATACTTCCTGAATGTCACAATTTTGGAAAAAAAATAAAAACTGAAAAAGGTATGAATGATGTTTTCTGTCTTTATGGAAAAAAACTAGCTTAGGAACGCCTGGGTGGCTCAGCCAATTGGGCATTTGAGTTCGGCTCAGATCTCGCAGGTCCTGTGTTCAAGCCCCATGTTGGACTCTGTGCTGACAGCTCAGAGCCTGGAACTTGCTTCAGATTCTGTGTCTCTCTCTCTCTCTGCCCCTCCCCTGCTTGCACTGTCTCTTTCTCTGTCACTCAAAAATAAATAAACATTAAAAAATTTTTAAAAACTGGATTAAAACATTAAGATTGAAATACATATAGTAATAATATGTCATGTTGATGAATTGGATTCTCTGCAGAATCTATTGTGGTGCCATATATTAATTTAAATTATAACAATAATGGTAATTTTAACAAACACTGGCTGCTTACCATATGATTTTTGATATTCTGGTAATTAATGGTTTTTGAAAAATCTTTCTGACAACTTTGTGAGCCAGGTGATAGCATTATTCCTATTTTATGGAAGAGAAATTCAGTGAACAGCGATAAAATAACTTGCCCAGCTGGTGTCAGAGTCATGATCTGAACACATGCATTCTGACTACGTGCTTGATCCCCCAGCTATCCTGCCTCGTGGAGAGGTATGATTATTTGTATATAAAATTTGTCTTTCAATAACTTTAGAGAAGGCATTTAGTCTAGAAATAAAAACTATGTTCAAGAAAACAAAATATGAATATTCTAAGCACATAAATTATTCTTGATCCATGAAGGAAGAAAAAGCAGTATAATACAGAAAATGAATATATTTTACAGTGCTTTTCCTAGTAAATTTGATCTAATGATCACCTTATTTCTATATCCAAGCAAGTGTCAGCAATTTATAGTAGAACCATCTTGGGTTCCTAGCAGTTTAAAATTTTTTGCAGAAGAAAAATTATAAGAGTGCAAAGAATCATGTAATGTTATGGAACTCTTGAGAGGTTATCTGCAGAAAATGCTTAAATGACAGGATACAAGAAGAGAAAGCATTAAAGCTATGTCACTTTGGTTACCACCTAGCAATTCCCATTACCACATTAAATTCCTGTGTAAAGTTTTAGTAGTCTGTGGTTATGAACCACGTCCCTCAATGATTTTAATATTCTTACTGTCTCAAAGAATTTTGAGTTTCTTTCAGATGCCCTCAAGCATATTTTTTTTAAAAAAGGCCTGTTGCTGTTAAGTTAAGGAATACAAAGTTAGCAATAAAAGAGGCTTGGGGTATGAGGAGGTTAGAGGAAAGGTAGGAACACATACCCATACACACAGGTGTTTCTGTGAGTATGTGTGTGCTAATCTTGTATGTGTGGGACATTCACACATACAGAAAGTCATGAATTTGTAAAGAATTTATGCTATGCCCAAAGCTAAGTACTTTCAAATACTTCTTATTTAATTCTCACAAACGAATGAAGTAGGTGCTATTACTGGTCCCATTTTGCGAATGAAGAAACCGAGTTATGGAGAGGTCATAGCTCAAAGTCACAGCCAATAATTGAGGCCACAATTTGAACTTGGTTTGATGACTTTTACCCAACAAGATATATACTATTTCTTTTACTTGTTCATATGTTTACATATTCAGTAAACACACTGAATATGGGTATGCAAGTTTCTTATTCAGATTTTTCTAATGCACATCTCTTCTCTTTCCTGCTAATAGGTACAGACCCACTGCTCCATCCCTCCCTCCCAAAATGGCATACTTTCCCTTTTTCTTGAGGCTCTTCCCTCTATTTTGACTTATCTTTATTTTATTTTTAAAGTTTATTTCTTTATTGCGAGAGTGAGAGAGCACGTGCATACAAGCAGGGGAGGAGCAGAGAGAGGGAAAAGGAGAGAGAGAGAGAGTCCCAAGCAGGCTCTACATTGTCAACATGGACCCTGATTGGGGTTCCATCTCACAAACCCTGAGATCATGACCTGAGCTGAAATCAAGGGTCAGATGCCTAACCGACTGAGCCACCCAGGCACCCCAACTTGTCTTTATTTTAGATGAGGGCTTTGGATGTCTCCTGTCCTTTATAGTAGGCCTGCTGTTTAGTTAGTAATTGAGCTCAATGGACTGGATTTGCTTTCAGCTTAGAAACACAAATTATGAGGCTCGGCGGTGTGTCTCATTAATCAGGATTGCGTTTTTGCCAAAGGAGGTAAAAACCTGGCTGCCACTCCTAAGCCTCAAGCAGGCAACGACAGAATCAAAGGAATATCACATCAGTCAACTCTGGTGCTCTGCCAATATTACTCTTTAGGAACGATAACAGGACACATCTACAGATGTAAAAGCTAATGCTGATTTTCCCTCTCTTCCTTTTGTCAAATCTTCTTTACATACGCCTGTAGAGGATTTTCTTAGCCTGAAGAAAAACCATTCATTCAAGTCCTCATTGTGTTCATCTGTAAAAAATTTTGTGATCCTCCAATTGACATTTTTCATTATAGGGTGTGATAATTTTTTTATGGGTCTGTGATTGTAATGTCAGAGGCTTGGTAATTTGAAATTTGTTGTGTTTATCTGATTCATAAAAACAACTGGAAATATACAACTGGGTTACAGTTAACTATTTTTATTTATCTCTGGTACATTCCAGCTCCATCAGAGTGAGGCTGGAGAAGACAATTGGGCCTTAAACTTCATCTTCATGAAGTTCTGTTCTGATGGTTATCTATTATTATTTATTCACAGAGGCATTTTATTTGTGACATATTTAAGTGTTATTTTTTAAATGTACTCATTTAAATACATGATCATTTTTTACAACCCCGATTAATATATTAAGGACCCTGAAGAATGGAAGTGGCCTGGCTTTTCTAAATCCCTCAGAGTCTCTGGGCTTCACCCAGGGATCACCTGGATGAAATGAATGGGTACATACATTTTAGGTGGTGGATCTTACTAACCCTCACTGAGGAATGTGTAGCCTATACTAGTAAATTCCCCAAATGTAAACTTTCTGGTGTGTCATCTGGAGCTTAGTTACATTTCAGAAAATAATTAGACATGTACTGAGTCTTAATTCTATTTACATAGCTGTGACCCTCCATTAGAATAATTTTCCCATAAGCCACTTCCCTACTCTTTATCTATCTGGCTTATTTCATTGGCGCCATCTTAAATAAAGAGGTCTAATTCTTTTTAAGGTGTCTCTGACCAAGTCATGACTATTATCATAAGGTTTATAACACAGAGCTCAGTTCTAGGAACAAAAAAGAAAACAAACAAGTCTGCCATATTAATCAATGACTTGTGGGAAAAATTGGGTAGCATTCTAGATATGTCACATACACTCATTAGTTTTCAAAATTAATTTTGTTCTTGAAAAAGCAAAAATAGATTTCTCCTCCACCCTTGAAAATGATTTAATGTTTCCTCATTTGGGAAGATGGCCTCAGTGTTAGTGCTAAGTTGCCCTTATATAAAGAAAAATTTTAATGGGTTAGTTGATACTGTATTATGAAGACTTTAGTTCCAAAGTAAAAGAAGAAAAGTTATAAAAATAGAAACTGGTTTATAAAGTTAATGGTGTATGTATGTTTATGGAAAACATGAACCTCTGTTCGTTAAGCTCTGACTGTTGATGAAAACATGACTGCATCACATTGAATTTCTTACATATTTCCTTAGATGTGAATAAAACATGTTCTTTTGTTGAAGCCAACATCAAACTGTTGGACTTTTTAGGAATATTTATTTTAAGTCATGACCTTGAAATATATAGTCTTAAATCTGCTAGTTAGTGCTATATAGGCCTAGATTTCCAATCGTATGCTCAGACTAATACAGATTTAGCCAGTCTGCATTGTTCTCCTGACTTAACCTCCTCTGTTCAGTGCATATTCCTGTATACTTTCTGTGCAGGAGACCGTTCCCTTGGCTCCAGGTCGTGACCTTGATTGGGATGAAGAGATGGCCAAAGCACAGTCACATGATTGTGTTCCTGTTCTTTCAGAACATCCGCTGTATATTCTTTACACGTCTGGAACAACAGGGCTGCCGAAGGTATTTGCTCTCTTAAGAATAAGTATCTAGCGGCAGATTTCTTTTGCCCTGAGAATGTTTGATTACTGACTGAAAATGCAACTGTACCCGAAGGATTAGACTTGGGTACTTTGTACCTTAAAGCTATGTTATGTTCAAATCTAGAAAAATATTAATTATATTTAATGTCAAATGCTTTGCCCCTATTTCTTCTGAAATTTTCACATACATAAGCAAGCTGCTATTGATTTAGTAACCTATTAAAATGAATAGGTATTTGATCAAACATCAGTTGGTTTAATACAATTTTATAAAACTATATTTTAAATTAAATAGTTTTATTTTCTAAATTAAGGTGTAACTTTTATAGAGTATGGAATTGATTTTTGATCTAGGGGAATTCAATTCTTTGTTATAAATGCAAGATTGAGAATTGGCCTAGACAGTTTGAACAACAGGCAGTTTATCCAGAGTATTGAACTATGTGATTTGTAGCACTGAAGACACTCAAGGATTTTTAAATCTGCTTACCATGAAAGGTGTTTTCACAAAACAAAGTTAGAAGAATCAATATTTTTGCAGGTGTCAGATAAGAAGTAAATATCACTTTTGTCTGTATCTCCAAATTATACTGTTTCTTCATACAACTTCGTAAAGGCTTGCAATGTCATCTTCCTATTCATTTTTAATTTTTTTTTAGTTTATTTATTTATTTTGAGGGAGAGAGAGAGAGGGAGTGGGAACAGGGAAGTGTCAGAGAAAGGGAGAGCGAGAGAATCCCAGGCAGGCTTGCACTGTCAGCATGGTGTCTGACATGGGGCTCGAACCCAGGAACTGTGAGATCATGACCTGAGCTGAAATCCAGAGTTGAAGGCTTAACTGACTGAGCCACCCAGGTGCCCATATTAGGGAGTTCAGTAGTCACTGAATCCTAAAATTTTAGTGGGGGAAGGGGCTTTCACAATCACTCACATCCTGGAGGACAGTGGCCTCTTTATTAATAATTAGATTTCTGTAGCATCAGAGTTCTGAGAATGTAATTTGTTCATAATCATAAAATAGTGATTCCATTAGATTAGTTTTAAAAAGAAAAATTAAGATGTTCCACATCAAACTCACTTGCTTATAAAAAAGGAAATATTTGGTAGGGAGTATATTCTCTCTGAGGACAGAGACCATGTTTTATTACATTTTAGTCTACCATTGTGCTTTTTCTTTTAAGTTCATCTTTATTTATTTTTGAGAGAGAGATAGAGTGAGCAGGGGAGGGGCAGAGAGAAAGGGAGACAGAATCCCAAGCAGGCTCCGCGTGGTCAGCCCAGAGCCCAGTTGTGGGGCTCGAACTCACGAACCGTGAGATCATGACTTGAGCTGAAATCAAGAATCAAGACGCTTAACCAACTGAGCCATTCAGGTGCCCCACTACTATTGTGCTTTGTATGTAGTTTGGTGCTTAATAAATTTTTGTTGCATGCATAAAAAAACAAATTTGTGTCATTGTGGAATCAATCCCTTATGTTTTTTTTTCACAACTCTGGTCATCTGAAAAATAAATATTCCTTCATATTGATGACTTGTTCAAGCAGTCCAAATGATCTTCTGGACCCTAACTTTAACCTTCCACCTTTTGCAATTCTGCATTATGCACCAGCTGCATAGAGTCTAACTGGATGTGTAGCTGTAAAATAAAATGGGATTCACCAAGTTATAATCTAATAGAAAAGTTCAACATGAAAGGGAATCCCTGACCCTAAAAAAATAGTATAACCTAACCAAATAAAAAAGAACCCTCCAAAAATCACTTTAGCTCCTATTAGCCTGAAGGATTCTTATAAAAACAGTTGTGCCACTTCAAGATTTTAAGTTACCCTGAATTTCACTTGGTCTGGATGGGGATGTCTATGGCAGGAATGGAAGAGCTTGTTAGAGACTCAAACCTGACTCAGCCAGTGTGGTAGAGATGAAAGTAACATACAGAGCATCAAATCTGAAAAATGGCGATTCCAAATAAGGAAGGATCCTAGCTTTTCCAGGTGTTGTTTGGGTCAGGAAGTTCTCTCCTGGAGATCCTGAAACTGAAGATCATTTGAAGTTTCAGTCATTCTCATTTACTTCCTTATGTACCATCCTAAAGATAATCTCCCTTCACTAAATTGGAGAAGGCTTTAATTGTGTGGAGGTCTCTATTTATGTCAAATTCAACTCCATTTAATATACGTGTATTGAGTGTTCATTCTGTGCTAAAAGATATGAGTGAACCACAGTCCCTTCAGTCTAATGGATTGAAATATTCCTGAACACAGGTAGGCGAGGTAGACTGTTATCCCTGCACTATTTCTCTCTCGGAAAAGATGAGATTGAATGGTATCTGAAGGATTCCATTCAACAAATTCAACAAATATTACTGAGCACCCAAGTATGTGTTTGGTTATCTTTTTAAAAGTTTAAAAGTTTATCTTCTATAGTCAGGACACAGGAACTAAACAAAGAGCTATTTAATATGTGGAAAGTGTTATGAAGAAAAAAATAAAGCAGGGTAATCGGACCGAGTGGTGGGAAAAGTGGGAGAGCTGCTCTATTAAACAGTGGTCAAAGAAAGCTCTTATAAGGTGGTGTTTGAAGGATAAATAAAACGTCTTCATAGAGTGGCATCCTAGAGAGGAGGGCACTGTTGGCAGAGAGGGTCAGCATAAGCAAAGGCAGGAGTGTGCAAGAAAGTTTCCAGGATGGCTATTGCATGTGGTACTAATGAGGAGGATAAATGGTTAGATACATAGGCAAGGGCCAGACTCTTAACATTTAGCCAGCCAAGAAGTTTAGGCTATATTCTGTATGGAAGGGACAGAAGGCACTAATGCTTTTTAGGCAGCAGAGAAAAATATGAAGGAAGGTAAATCCTTGCAACATTCTGTTGGGAAAATAAGCAAGTACACACAATGGAGGCAAGGAGATTCGTTTCCAGGCTGTTTTAATTTAGGACTTTACTTAAGATAGCACATTTAATAAAGAGAAATCAGATCTGGTTCAAAGATAGGCGTGAGGCAGAGGACAGGTCCAAGACTCAAAACTGAGAACCCAGGCAGATGGTTTTGAGTATTTGCCAAATAGAAACACAGGATGTGGTTTGGGGCTGGGGGAAGCTGAGAGTTTTTGAACATACTGAGTATAATGCATCTTGGACCGAGTATGATGCATCCTCAGATGCATACTGAGTATGATGCAACATGGAGATGCCTAACCAGAGGTTGGAGATGGAGGTCTGGGTCTGAGAAGTGCATCTGGGTTGGGAGATAGACCTTTGTGGGTCATCAGCTCTAGTGTTTAAAGCATGGTGGTGAGTAGGTTTTGCAAAGTGGGACATGCAGAATGGCAAGAAAAGTAGTCATCTCTCAAGGTCCCTCAGAAATCCTTCCTTCATTCCTCTAGTGCATTTTAGAATTCCAGTTGCATTGAAATTATACATTGTCAACAAACCTTTATGTCACTTATTTTATTCTACCTTATGGATACCAGTTTTTATTTGCTTATCTTCATAATGTTGCATATTCTCAGAAGTCAGAATATATTTCATGTATCTTTGAATCCACTATGTCACTAACCTAAAAACTGGGCCATGGTAAATTCTCAGAAAATTTGTTAAATGATCTTTGACTTCTTGAGTTAGTTCCCAGACTCCTCTTTATTCAGAAGATTCTCATTTCACTTCTGGTAGGTATAATCAGGCTTAATGGGATCTGAAATTTTAATACTTGTATTTCTAGAATAGAAGTACAGGAAAGATGAGCACACATACATTCATGAAGGATTTAAATAATTTTAATGTCATCATACAATTTGTTCTCCCAATCTTTGGCCTTCATGAGGAAAAATAATGTTCTGGGCCCGTAAAAATACTCTGCTTAAAAATACTTTTCATAAGCACATATAAGACACACATAAGGCAATCTGTTCTTTGGTTAGAAGTTGAAGATCTATTTAGGACATATTTGCATCTCTGCATCTGCCAGCCCTGGATTTGTCAGGTTGCTGTATGAGAGGTTAATCTGTAAATATTCTAGCAACCACAACTGAGCGACTTTGCATACATTTCTGCAATGTTGTGGGCTTCTGTCCTGTTTAGTCTGGGTGACTGTATTCAAGATACTTCAAAGTACTGCACAGTGGAAGAATTCTGCATCTGGATGCAGGGGCGTCCTTTTGGGAAGGGGAGATTTAGTGATGATAATACTTCTCTGCTTCCAGCTTGGTATCATGAAGGGACAGTGATAATTACAACACACACACACACACACACACACACACACACACACA